AATTTGCTATATATTTTAGAAATGGATTTAATAAGGACCAGCAAAATGAAGTCAACCTTTGCACCTTGTCCTCCCCTCTTCTCCAAGTGCAGGGAGAGTTAGAAGTTTGATGCCTGGGTGAGCAGGGATGACTTGGGGGGGGTGTCTTGTTAATATCTGCTTTGCACCAACTTGGGACATCGCTGATTTTGTGCTAATCTGCCTCATTTTAATATGTTGTGTTGCCCAAATTCCCAGTGTTGCTTTTTCTTTTATCTGATAAAAAATGTTGAAGAGGCCATGTGTGGGGCCATGGAGGGTTCTCTGCATCTTAGGTGTAAATGAAATTAATAGTATGTTTATATTACCTGTATTTGGACAGAAAGTAAACTTATTTTTGCTGCTAGCATGGATGTGCTGCCATAGATGGTGAATGGTCTGAAGCCACAAATCATCTGACATTTTTGAAGACCATTCCTTGCTACCACAAAAACTGTAAGCATTGAACCCATTACAGTCGGGCAGCTGAGGAAAAAATAAAAAGAAAAAAAAGATTAGAGTAGTCAAGCATAGCAAAAAGAGAGTCACAAATATGTGAATTCATTCCAGTAAGTATTCAAGCAGCTGTAGGCTTCATATTTAGTTCTAAAAAGGTCCATGTGGAGTATTTTCTGCTCTGAGTTTTAAATTTATGCCCAAATATGGTCTCTTCTAATGAATAAAATAACTATTTTTCCACGTCCTTGAACTGTTTTCCTGATTCTGTTCACATTTCAACCTTGCGAACAGACTTTCTTTGTTTGCTCTGGCAGTATATAGTGGCAGAATTGGACAACAGGAGTCTCTCAAAATCTCAGATAGCTCTTCCCTTGCTACATTCATTTTTCAGCTTGCTGCTTTGCTCTTTGGAGCTAGAATCAGATCAGGTTTGCTTATTCAGTCTCCCTCATGCAGCATTTGCATCCATCATGTACATACGTGCCAGAGATGCAAGCCTTGGCTACCAGTACACCCCGGTATCTGAGCTCTCAATTTAACATGGAAAAAACGTGGAGACTTCAGTGTGTGTGTTTGGGGCCTATTAGTATTAAGGACATCTGGGAGTCTCTGTATTACTAGACTAATGGACTGCCTGCAGTCTTACGGTGCCTTCAGCTCTCTATAAATTACATGAATGTACTGTTAAAGCAGCAGTTAGCACTTTCATCTAGCGTAGCTGGACTGCTTTAGCCATTTTTTAAACCAGGTGAAATTTTCTGTATTCCTGTGAACTCTTCTGGTATTCGCATTCTGAAGACATTCACTCAAGCTTGCTGAAGGCCTCATGTATAAATTGCCTTTGACAGAAGCTGCTGGGAACATAAGCCTTGGTGCAGATAAAGGGATCTTCACTGTTGATGACATACAGATATTTTTGTGTATGTGAATATAGATGAGGAACTCTTAGTATTGTACAATAGTATTAAGATTGCAAGGGCTGCTTTTGTTTGGAAAAAATAATGACAAATTTGTGAAATGTTTCATTCTAAATTGTATTAATTAAAACCTGCTGATTCTGGAGCTGAGCATTCCCATATGCTTCATTTTTGAGTGTTTCCATATAACCATTCTCTCTGCCATCTTCATAAATTCACAGAGATGGGTATTTCTCCATGGCCATGCAGACAGCTGTGCGAAGAAGCTGGCTGGTCAGCTGGGAGCCAGGGCAGAGCCAGAAACTGGGGCTACTCTGGCACTGAAATTGTGCTGAGAGGTTAAGCACAAATATTCACTCAAGTTTGCCAATATGGTTGTATGATTTTTGGTTGGCTTGTGTTTGCGTGAGCCAGAATACTGGCAGAATAAATGCATGTTTGTATGCTGAGCAGTGTTTGGACGTACTTTATCTAGTCAGTAGCTGAATTTACTTGAACTTCGCTCTTCAGTTAAAAACTTGTACTCTCCAAAGTGGGCACCTAAGCACAGAGAAATGCCCACAAGCAAGGCTATCTCCCTGTGTAGATGATTCATTAAATGCACGTGTTACAAGAGAAAAATGGGGATATGGAAATCTTGACGCTTTCATTCTGCTAGTTATAGAAACACTGGAACATTTCTAATCTGAAAACTTGTCAGGTCAGGGGGAATGTTTGACTTGCATCGTTTTGGGAATGGTTGGCATCCTGGCCGACCTGCTTGGGGAAAGGAGCAGTGCTGAGCAGGGCAGCAAGTCCTATAAATACTGCATGGCTGCAGCTCCCTGAACCAGGGTACTGCTGCCACACTGTACAGTGTGGAAACATCAGGCAGATCTCCTTGCTGCATGGCCCCATAGGTGTCATCAGCCATAGTGTTTGTCTCAGCTTTTTGGAGTTATGGCTTGGTGCTTTTTAGGTTGATTTAATGAGGAAAATGGCTTATGTGGCTGGGCTGCCAGTCTTTTCTCCCCTCCTTAATCCTCCCCTGCTACTTTCCAATGGCTTTTGAATATTTTGCTGAACTTCATCTAATTTATTTAAAGTAACAGAAATCTCTTAAGGTGTTCCTGCAAATGTTATGAAAATTGGTGATTAAGTATTGGAGAGACCCACATTAGTGCTTCCATGGAGGGAAAGGCATGAGGTCAGCAGCTCCTGTCCTGCTTTGTGCGTCACCTGGGGGATAATACTCGATCCTTTGCCTAGCCAGGCATGCAGGCAGCATCTGGAAGAGAAAGCTGTTGCAGCAGGAAGTGATGGGGATGTGAGAGTAACCTGGGATTTTATGGCACAGAGAATTGTTTAGGGGTGTGCCAGAAGCTCTGACGGTAGAAAGAGAGGCTTCTGCTTTACCAGTCCTAGGCTGGAGGGGAGGAAAAACAGGATCTGAAGGGATCTTGATCATTTTTGTCTGCATGTGAGTATTAAGAGGTGTGTTTTTCAGGAAGAGAAGATAACAGTTGCTTTATTTTGCAACAGCGGTGTCTTCATCCACTATGCAACCTCACCCAACCTCATTAGGAAGCCTGCATTGGCACCATTTAATTTGTTTTCTATAAATCTGCAGTATACAAAGACTCTCATTTAAAGACCTTTCCCTAGCTCTTTGAGACTGCTGTTTTTCATGTTGATTTTCTTATCCTTAGATGTAGCATTAGAGGTTACTGTAAGAAGTAAATTAGCAGCCCAGATACAAGTAATGGAGACATGTTGCTGGGTCATTTTTGTAAACAGAAGACTTCAGTCTCCATACAGAAAAAACTGCTGCAATTCTCCATAGGGAGTACAAAAATTCCCTTCATTGAATTTTCTTAGATTTTATTTTCTGTGGGGTATTTAGTAGCTGAATACTTAATATTTATATTGGTTTTGTTACATTCTATAACAACAAAGTCCCAAAATATTGCCTTAAAGTTCAGACTATTGCTTTATGCCTTTACTAAATCCTACCAATATCTATCTAAAATTGGCCAAGTTATAAGCCTCATAAAAAAACTACAAAGCCATTTTTTGTAATATGCAGATGTGTCAGCATTTGTAAGCAATTTTGGAAGGACTCATTTGTGATGGATGTTTTCCAGTTCCAGGTAATTCCTTATCCTCTGTCTCTATATCCATATAGAAACTGCAAGCTGGCATGTATAAGAGATGGTTCAAAAGTGGAAGCATGATTAAGAAACCTGTTAGATTAGTTGATTTTGTTTTGCTTTTAACTTGCAGATACCTTCCCTTCCATGGATTCTGGTTTTCGCCTTCTGAGAAACAGCTAGTGATCCTTCCTTCCCTACATTTCCTATGACATTCATGATTGTGGAGATCACGTTTATATCTCTGACTCTGAAAATGCTGGGTCTACTAGATTTCAACTCAAAAGCAGCTTATTTAGTACAAAATAGAGTAGTTTGGTGTCCTTTATTTAAATAGCTTTTGCTGTTTCTGTAAGATAGTTGTGCAGAGTTATGCAGCTGCTGGAGAGACATTTGTAAATATTTTCTGCCTTCTTGAAACTTTTTGAATAGGTTTGTTTCAGTAAAATTTGTCAAAATCTATCTTAATTTAAAATAAAGAACATGCAGTCCAATGGTGTTCACATAATTATCCCTGAGAATTTCTGGTTTCACTTATGGTCATGTTCTGTACTCCTTCTGGAGCTACATAATTGGTTTATATTTCTCTTGTGGCTAATTGAGAGTGCCTGTTTGGACCTCTTAGTGTAACAGGTGTAATATAATCTAATATTATTTTTTGACGGAGTACCATGCAGTAGAGTGCGTTACCAAAAAGTTAAAGAAAAAAGTTTGTCAAACTTGCTTTCTCAATGTAGAAGTCTGTTTTTTCCTTTTCATTTACACCTGTAAAAGGAAGAAATACATCGTAGGCAAAACTTTCTTCAGTGTGAGATTCTACCCATCCACGAAGACAATAAATTTGAATCTATTCATACACTTCAGTGCTCATCAGTTAGCCTGCTCTAGGCTATCCCTTACTATGGTGGGAGATGGACTGTGATGTTCAACGTGTCTGCTGAATTGGGGAATCTTTCTGAGGGGCTGAAAAAAACAGACGTAATTTCTGGATCTCAGCTAGAATTGCTGCACAAATTGGGGTTGTTCTGCAAATGCACATGCCTGGGATGCTGAGTGCTTTGCAAAACTTCAGAAAGATGTCCACAGGAAACAGCAAGGCAGCATCTTTCACCTGCTGACAGATCTGGCCTGAAATTATGTCTGTTGATAACCAGGAGAGCCTGTTTTTGCCTTAAGACTAGCTTTATGCTGCCAGAAGCACTCTGGAGTGAGTCAAGTTGTAAGGCTCTGTCATTGTGAAGCTATGCATAATATTTATGTTACAGCATGATGAATGTGTTGTAAATTGGTAAAGCAATAAAAATCTTTTTTTTTTCCTTTTTTTTTTTTTTTTCCTTCGAAGACTAATATATCAAAATCCCCTTTGTGCTCTGTGTGTTTCTGCTTTGCAGATTTTAAAGAGGGTGTCTGTTAGGTCACTGGATTTCTTTCTCTATGTGTCAATTTTCTCATGTATTTATTTATTTATTTTTTACAGGAATCTGAGATGAGAATAGTTAGATGCTGATGATCTTGACACAGTTGCTTTCTTATGTATGCTGACAGGTAAGCATGCCAAATTAATTTTTGTAGAGAAATCATTTAAGTTACTCATGTCTTTTCTTCACCTTTTTTTCCCTTTAATCCTATAGCAACTTCTCAGAATTGATTTTTATATCACAGATTTAGTAAGACTGAGAAGAATTTATCAGTTTAACAGCAGACTGTTGTGAAGACAGTTGGGAGAGCATGTTAACTTTCATCATCACGTGTAGCAGCTCTCTTCCTCCTCCTACTGAATATACTTTAAATCTGAACTAGCAGAAAGACTAATGTTATGGTAATTCTTGTATTAGATGTGTTGAAACACTTTTTTTTTTTTATGAGCAATTTTTTGGGAAGTTCACTGCAACTTTTGCAATTAATGTCTGGTTTGGGTAAAGAATTTCATAGTGTAGTCCCTCATCATACAGTTAGGTGAAAACTGATGGACTAGGATGTCACTGTAGAGCCTCTCATTATATAGCTCAGACATGTCCATTGTGTCTTTTCTATTGTATCTGTGCACTGCATTTTCAGTGTTTTCTATTCAACCAGGCTTCTAGTCTCTACGTATTTCTTTCTTATTCCTTTTTATTTTTTTCCCTCATACCTTTTCTGTGATTCTTTTAAAACACAATTTGAAAAGTTTTGGTAGTACTCTGGAGACTTCTTACACCTTTTTATACAAAAGTTTCTTAAACTAGAATTATTTTATTGGCTTACAGTCCAATTGTTACAAAATAAATAACTTTAAACTCAGAAGTCAGAAAAAAAATGATCAAAAACTACAGTGATTTAAAATTAGGTTTCCTTTGGTAAAGCCTGATGCTTCTGTATGATCTGAAAACTAAAAACCTCATTTTCTCTGTGATGAGAGAAAAGTGAAGGGGCCTTTTCTCATATTGGTGCTGCAGCTGTCTGTGTTAATGCACATTATGACCACATATCAAAGATAAGATAGTGTGGTGGTTTCACACTGATAGACAGTCCTAGCAGTATCTTTGGATGAGCAACAGAAGGAGACTGAAAACATTAAAATTATGTAAAAAGTGGGCAAGGTATTGCAGGGTAACACTTTCAAATTGGAGGAGTAGTCTGTAGAAATGGAAAAAGGAGAGAAAGTTTAAAACGTGATGGTGTGTACCTCAAGGCCAGCACAAGAAAAAAAAACATTAACTTATCAGGAATTTATCATTGGCTATTTGCTTCTGTGGCTAGTGCCAATATCAAACATGAGTACTTATGCCAATTAGAAGACAAAGGAAATAGATCAAAAACAATTACACAAATACAGAATTACAGAATTTTATTTGGCAATGTGTTGAGTTTAGGAGACTAATTTTTGTTGACTAAAACGTGTCAGTAAGTTTCTAGTTACGGAGTTTTTCAAATATCAAGTTGGTCATTAGTTTATGGCATGATCAAAATAATCCTTCAGAGCTCATACTGTCATACCTTGATGAGGGATGTATATGTTTGAGTATTCTGCAGAATTGAGAAAGCATGGAGGTAAGAGGCAATACTTTGAATCAATTCTAAAAATGGGAAAATAAACTTAAATCTCAATTTTTAAATTATTTGCTCAGTGCTACTAAGCTATTTGTGGGAAATAGATATCATCAGCGTAGAACTGAACTACCTTTCAAATAAGTCTGAAGCATAAAGAACAGCAGTTACTCAAATCTAGCTTTGATAATGTATTAACACTGCAAGACATCAACACATTCTAAACTACAGATGTGATGGGTAAGGCTTCTGCTTACCTTGTCAATCTTTTTTTTTTTTTCTTTTTAAATGTCTTTCTTTCCCATTTATATTCATAGCAGTCACAGTGACTGCAGATGTGAAAAGCAGACATTCATGACTGAGCACGCTGTTTCACCGTGAGAGCCAACAGTGACAGTGATGTTTGGTACAGGCTGTAAACACTTCTCTATGTTTTACGTGCTCTGAGTTGTTAGTGAAGGGGAACTTCCAGTACCCAATTCTGTGGTTCTCTTAAAAGTATTATTATAGGTCTTTGTTGCATGTACCATTTTTTTTTTTTGTATAGTTAACATTCATTATTCTAATATACAAAATACTGCAATATTACATACATACTTTGCTCTTTTTACTATAGCAAAACTTCAATTTTTATGTACTTTGTCTGACTGCCTGTGATTTAATGAGTCCTCTCCAGGCCAAACGATAGGGGATCCAGCCCTGTGCCCTGGGTGGAGCAGGGCAGGCAAGTCAGCAGCCTGGGTGCTGCTGCAAGAAGAGCTGTCTTGTGGAAGCAAGAAGGCCTGAGGACCTTCCTGCCCCCCTGCTCTTGCTGAGGCAGTGGTGATGCAGCTCTGATGCCTAGCATGCCTTCTGTGGCAAGCTATAATGGTGGGAAATTCAACTGCTGGGCATATTAATGGCTGCAGGTTTGTGGTGGGAGAGAGCCAAGCCTGGTGACCTATCTTCTGTGTGGAAAGTTAGCATACATCCTGAAATCTCCTAAAAAAAAAAATAAAAAAATAAAAAAAAAAGAAAAGAAAACTAAAAAGGGGAGGAAGAAAAAATGGGGAGGAGCTGGTGGCATTCTTAACCCAATAGAGGGACTAGAGGCATGTCAAAATCATGAAGATGAAAGCACATTAGAAAGAAATTAAATCCAGTACCATGAAAGGGGCAGAAATGGTAGTTTACCATGTGTGGTTGAGAAACAGTTTGGGGAAGAGGAGGCTAGGCCTGGGGAAAACTTTTGAGATGAGGCAGCTAGGAATGAAAACACTGGAAGGCAGACTGAGTAAAATCCCTGGGAGAACATGAAGTAGGCATAAAAGCTAACAGCAAATCTATTTTTAATGCTAATTTCCTTTAAAAATGTGAATTGAACAAAATATATTTCTGTTTTCATAGCTTTATATTAATGCTGAAGAGGAGGGCTTTTTGCACTCTGTCTCTGCCTTGTTCATTTGTGCAAGCAGCAAGGCAGAGAGGGGTTCAGTAGATCTCATTAATGGGAATGTCCTGAAGGATTTGGTTCACATGATGGGCTTAATTATTTCCTTCCCTGCACAGCTGCATTACACAGTAAGCAGAGCTGCCTAGACGTTGTTCTTCTCTTATAATGAGGTGCAGGAATAGGTAGCTCTGACAGCATCAAGAGCAGTGTTAGGAAATGAGCTTTGCGTGGAAATTGTTAACATTAGCAATACACATGGGAGTATTTGAGCAGCAAAATAGAAAGACTTAGAATAAAATAGACTTCATCTCAGGGTCATGCCAGCCCCCGGTTTTATAGAGAAATAGTTCTTTCACGCATTATATTCCTGTACATCACTGCTCCTCATTCCTGGAGAAAGGCAGTCCCATGCAGGTGGCCATCACAAAGGACCGTGAAATCCTACACCATCAGCTGCTCGATGCATACAGAGGATTTAGTAAGAACTTTTACTAAGTAGTTACTTAATGGCAGAAACTGACAGTTGTATGCCTGGAATTCAAGACAGATTTTTATTAGGAATATTTTATATCATAATTCAATCAAGATTATTTAAGAATGCTTTTATATTCAGTTTGCATTTCTTGATTAGACTTTGATAATTTCCCTGGCTGGAATTTCCAAAGTATACCGTCAGAAAATTACAAATGGTAATGAATTCACTTAATCAGGTCTTACAGGAGTACAATCAACACAAAATCTAGTCAATTAGAAATAAATCTGTTTAAAGTGTTTCTAGTTCTCTAACGGCCTCGTTTTAGGATGTACATTACCTGTGACTGAATTAGAGACTTGCACAAACAGGTGGAAATCATACTCTGTAAAGAAAACACTGTACGTGTTGTAAACAAATCAAGAATTTCCTTTGGTGATGATGAAATTTACTTAGATCTCTGTTGTAAATTATAGATTGAATTGTTCAGTCCATGATAATTTGAACTTTGATGTCCCCTTAAAAAAACACAAGAAAGGAACATATTACTGGTAGTAGGTTAACAGCCAACATGTATTGGTACAGTTGAAAAAACTTTGTACATATATTTCACAGTGTGATAATACTGTCAAACCATACTGATTACAAAACATATGATTGCTTGGAAACTTGCAGATTTTGGGGGGTTATAGAACTAAGCCTATTTGTTAATCTTCCAGTTGTATCTTAACCATTACAGCTCTATTTAAAGACAAAATAGAGATGCAAGTGCTGTGTTTTGCAGTTGGCCTCAGTAAGACCAAGCTGTCCATACATCTGGCATGGTTGCCAGTATTGTTTCTAAACTTAGTCCTGGCCTTGCCCTTCTTTAGTGAGGTCAAGTTTTTGTAATGCTTTGGTCACGGCTTTGTTACATACACCACTAACAGGGCAAAATGACCTGATTTTCTGAATCAGTATTTCTTTTTTCATATGAACCGTGTGCTGCTGCAGGAATGCTATGGGACTGCATACGGGAGGCAAATGTTTGAGTGGCCATGGATTAGAAGGGAGAATGAAAAAATATTCTCCTCTGTTCTTGCCCTATACTTTGAACAATACAGAAGTAAAAAAGGCTGCAGAATATTTGAGAATATGCATTAACTGTGCATTTACGTAAAACTAAGATGAAAGGGCATCTTCACATCCTAGCTAAAAACAAAATTGGTGATTTTGTGTTAGTGATATTGAAATGCATAGAGGAACGATCCTATTGTAAAGAAGATTTTCTGTGAGGGGAGTGGGGACAAAATCTAGAGGTGACCAGCAGGAGAAGTGGTAGCTTTGGGGAGATGGAGCATCAACTGGCCTACACCTGCAGGGAGGTTGCGGAGATGATAGAGCCAGGTTCTGTGCAGTGATGAAGGGCAGGAGGACAAGAGAGAGAAGGCAATAAGTTGAAACAAGTTCAGACTGGGTATGAGGAAAATCTTTTTCCCTACGAGGACAGTCAGGCAGGGGCAGGGAGGTTGCTCAGGGAGGTTACACATTCTCCATCCTTGGAGGTTTTCAAGACAAATGTAGTTAACAGCATGAGAAGCCTGCGATCTCACAGCTGCATCAGCTGTGAGCAGG